TTGACTCTTATGAGAATGCCCGCATTTACAAAGAAAAGATAAAGAAATAGCATGTTAAACATATTGTGAAGCGGGAATTTCAAGTTGGCCAGCAAGTCCTCCTCTACAATTCTCGACTACGATTATTTCCCAGTAAATTACGTTCCAGGTGGTCGGGACCCTTCACTATTGCTCAAATCTTCCCACATGGAGCGGTCGAGTTGTATCATGAGGAAAAAAGAAATTTCAAAGTCAATGGGCAAAGGTTGAAACCCTACTTGGGAGGTGATTTTTCAAAAGAGAAATCATCCATTCTTCTTTCAAACCCGGAATGATCATGTCTCAAAGTCTAGCTAATGACTTTTAAAAAGTGCTTATTGGGAGGCAACCCAATCTCTTTTCCTTGTTCTCATTTTCTCTACTTTTCATACTTTCGCTATTTATTTTGTTACCCATAATTTTTAAGTCATCATCCCCATGCATACTGTGTCTCTATCATAGCTTATTTTCATGTCATGTGTAGAGCCTAATATTCCATCTTTGATAATGCTTCAACATTGATAAGTGCATGAAATCAAGGATAGAGCATAAAGTGGATTGAAATGGCTCATTTTGTGTAATTTTTGTTTTGGTATTCCATAGCCAATTTTCATGATTTTCCTTGGAATGTACGTTGTTTTATGTGTATATTTTGAGCATGTAAAATTTGGTTGGAAAAAAAAAAAAAGTGCGCACCCGCGCACTTCCGCGAGTTTTTAAGACCCACTATACCTCCTTTTTCATTTCATTTCAAGTTTTTTCCACTTCCTCTCCCCAAACTTGGCGATTTTGTCCATCCCCTTTCGTTACTTTCAAACTCCCTCAACTCTAGGACTCATAACACTTCAATCAAGAAACAATAACTCCAAGTCCAAATTTTCTTGAGGTATGTTTTTGAACACTTCGAATTTATGATTCTTCTTCATCGGTCGATTTCTGTAGTTTGTGGAGGAGTTTGGGTAACTTAAGAATGGAGTGATGTGTGGTTTAGATTGTTGATTTGTTTGCTAAATTTTTGGGATTACATGAAACCTAAAATCTTGTGATGGTAGTTGAATGTCACTCGTGCCTTCAAGGTGTTTGTGAAAAGTCCTCAATGAAAGTTTTATACACAAACCTTAGGCCACGTTTGAGCACTATTTTCCACCAAGTTTGGGGGTCTCTTGTGCATCATTATTCACTTTCATGTTCGAGTTTCATTCGTATTACATGCATATCTTTCATTTATGCTACATTTGATTGTTTTATGTTTTCTTTGTAGATCTTTTGCCTAAAACAATGACGAAGACAAGTGAATCATCCAAGAGTGCTAGGGAAAGGGCATAGTGGTGGATGAACCAAGTCGAAAGCGGGTAAAAACAAATTTCAAGCAATTTCGGTCAAATGCCGAAGATCAACGATATGCCGATGGATTAGGCACAAGACAGCTAGTTTATGAGCGCGGTGTTACCATGAGGGATTTTCGAGATACACTCTTGCATAAGGTCATTGAAAGGCACGAATGGGAAGAGGTAATAGCCGAACCACATAAGGCAATACCCCAGTTAGTGCGAGAATTCTATGCAAATTTTAACCGGGACATCAATGACAACACGACACCTCACTATCACCAAACATGGGTTAGGGAAAAATGGATAAAATTCTCTCCCGACATCATCAACAAATACTATGGGCTGGATCCAAAGAAGGGCAAAGCAGGTTTCCCTAAAGACACGAATTTGGATAATGCTGCTACCCTCATGTACGGGAGACCGACACAATGGCCTACTAGGAAGGGAAGAAAAGTGCTACAATATAGCAAGTTTACAAAGGAGAATAGAGTGTTAGCTCGTGTGATATGCACTAATATTCACCCTGTTTCACATCATACCACGCAGGTTAAGGTTCGGGTCGGATATTTGGTTGCATTTCTCCTCTCTCGGTCAGCAAATTACAAGCATTCAGACTGAGTGTGCAAAGTTAAGAGAGGACTATACAACGGGACAGCGGGAGTTGATGGCTTACCAGAGAGAAAAGGCAGATATTGAGGATGCTAGATACGCTGACATGATGGCCCGTTTCGGGCAGCTCTTTCCACCACAACCACCCCAATGACTATTGCTATGGGGAGTACCGTAACTGTCTTCCCTATTTTCTTTTACTGTTTTGTGCTACATTGAGGACAATGTGTTTTCTAAGTTTGGGGGTGAAATATTTTGCG